TTTTGGTTCCATAATGCGAGTTAACAAATCAAATCGGCTTAATGAAGTTAGTCTGACTCATTTGCAGGATAGCTGGTTCCATAAAATGACTTTACCTAATAAGCAAAGTTTATATAACTTAGTCTAACTTACTCTGACAACTGATATTGGGAACCTGACCTGGTCATGTGCTGGCTAACTTATGTCAGGGTGACCAAACGTCCTGTTTTCAACGTCCTGTTCTGGCCGTCCTGCTTGTTTTTTATAAAGCGATGAAAATGTCCTGGAGGAGGCATACTTTATATGTGTTGAAATTATGAGGCAACTTTGAGTAAACTTCGAGTATCATTTGAGTATCTCACTGCCGGGCCGAGTGTCCTGGTTTTCGGTAATCGAAATATGGTCACCCTAACTTTGTATATATATATATTTAGGAAAATGGTATCAGCGTGGGGCTCAGCATTGGCAGACAATAAATATTAAATGATTCATATTGAATTGGGGGCGAAAAAAACAACTAAATCAGGACATGCCTGATTACTATAGTAAACAAACCGTATTTGAGCAGAGATAGGTGGAGTATTTGTGTTGAAATCGTTGGTTTTCTGGGAAGTGGCCGTCTTTTGACGTAGGCGGACTCTATTCCTAAACTAACATTAGCTCATGTTGGACACTGTTGGCTTTGTGGGGAACAAAAGAAGAGCACTTGACACCGATTATAACCTTCACATTCTTTGGGCTTTCCTGGAAATGTCATCCAGACTCTTTTTACACAGAAACCCATCAACAGGAGGCTGCTGTAGAAACCAAAGACGATTAGAGAAAGTTGTATTTTTTTCAAGTTATGCTACAAATAGTGCATATAGTGCTTTTTAACTCCATTGCTGTGAACTCTGGGAGAAGCTGGATCGTCCCAGGATTACAAAACCATCCAATGAGGAAGGACTTGTGCGTGTTAGATTCTTGTGTTGTCAGACAGACCAGTACAGAATGGAGTCACTAATAACACCAACTGCACTCGAATGACACTTGACTCCACCAATGTGTCAGCATGTAAATAAAAACAACATGTAAACACAAGGAAAGAGTATGTCAAGTATCTGCACATCAGTTGTTGTCTTTTAATTTAATCTAAGCTGTATTAAAGGAGTCGGATTTACTCAAAGCCCTGCGGCCACATTCTCCAGAAAATGACTCATGAACTGCTTTTCAAAACTTTTCCCGCTTAAACTCAGAGTTTACTCGACCGCTTCCCGTCTGCTCTGCTGTTCTTTAAGTTTGCTCCTTATCGGAAACGACTTCGCTGCAGTTAAATATTAATTCTTTAACACGATTTACACAGTTTGTAGACGTATTTGTTCTCACGCTTTGAATCGATGACACAGTTTTAGCGTTTGACTCATTCTGAACACGCCCGTTTAAACCATTCATTCACAGGCTTTGTGATAATTATTGCAAACATGCCTCTCTGTGCACGTGAAACTCCTCAAATACAAGCAAAAGGCTCATAAAAATGTTGATTCTGTGGTTCTAGGGCGCCGATATCACAAATATTTCTCTGCCTGTTGACTTCGCTCTTTCCCTCTCTCTCTCACATAAAAGGTTTCGGTGTGCAGCTCTGCTTTTAGCTCAGTGCTGAGTGAGAAGGTGATGTGCCAGGACGCCCATGTGTTCACAGAGGACCGTCTGTTTCTGAGCACAAAGCACATGGGATTGACTTTCTGAGCAGGTTTTGTTTTTTTTTTTCTCAGTTTTGGTTCGACTTCCACTAAAATGTCAGGGGACTCTCAGGTAGCCGGGTCCTTCGTGGCTGCAGACTACGTGGTGTTTGCCCTCATGCTGTTGGTGTCGGCCGCCGTCGGGGTCTACTACGCCTGGACGGACAGGAGACAAAGGAGCTCCGGGGATTTCCTAATGGGGGGCCGAAGACTGACCGCCCTGCCCGTCTCCTTGTCCCTGACGGCCAGCTTCATGTCGGCCATCACGGTGCTGTCAAACCCAGCAGAGGTAAGCCGCAAGGCTCACTGGACGCCAACAATGAGACCACTTTTTCCACTTTTTCCTGCTTTAAAACTCCTAAAAAAAACACACACACACACACATGAATTCATATCGTCCCCCTGTAGGTGTACCGCTATGGAGCCAGTATCGGGTTCTACGGTCTGTCCTATGTGGTGACGATGCTGGTCACCTCTGAGGTCTTTCTGCCAGTTTTCTACAAACTGGCCATCACCAGCACTTATGAGGTAGCTGAGGTTTGGATGACAGGTTGTGTTGTATTCATGAAGGCATCATTAAATGTGTTAAATGAACTCGGCTTGATAGCCTCATTTTTCTTTACATTGAGTTCAGAGTTTCAAGTCAATCATCATTTTATTAGAAGATCTGTTAACTCAAAAAGATAAATGAAAACTGTTGCAGGATAGTTTTTGTTTGTTGTTGAGACCAAACATGATTAATAAATAAATAAATGAATGAATGAATGAATAAATAATATTTTGTATTATTATTATTATTATTATTATGGTATAAGTTGATACATAATAATAATAATAATAGTAATAATAATAATAATAATAATAATTACATGTTAATTCTGATAATAATGCAGTCAGAAAAAATGTAAAATTACTGTACTAAAATTAGTCATAAAATTAATTTTAGATAGTGTAATATGAGGTTGTTTTTTGTTTTATTTTAATTTTACATAAAAAAATCTTGTGATTAATAAATATTAGTTTTTATTTGACATTAGCCGTGTAAACTCAGTCCACATTTGATATTTTATTGAATTTATTTATTTTCATAAATTAAAAAAAAAAAATCTGTGAAGTGAAATACAATTTTTTTTATTATTATTATTATTTTTAATTTATTTATTTTTATCATAGTATGAATGTGGATAGTAGAAATAAAAGGTAGAATTAGAATTAGAATAAAACTTTATTATGTTTTATTATTTTTATTATTATTTATATATTAGGTGTATGTAGGGTGAGCAGTAAGGGATGAGGCACCATTTTATGTAGAACACAATCCAAATTTCAATATCTTGAAATAACTTGAATTCTCAGGCCAAAAACCTTTCATGGATTTCTGATTTATTTTTTTTGTCCCGTCATGTCCAAGTATCTGGAGCTGCGTTTCAACAGAGCGACTCGTCTGCTGGGGACGCTGCTCTTCATCGTTCAGACCGTGAGTCTATAAACCTATAAATCTTCAGTGGGTTAAAACACAATTAAGTCACCTGATGATGAATTTTATCATCTTATTTGTTGTCACAGATCCTCTACACTGGAATCGTGATCTACACTCCAGCTCTGGCTTTAAATCAAGGTATGCTGGTTTCTGTCCTCAGAGGTCAGAATCGTGAAACATTCCAGCGTGAGAACACTTGAAGCCTCTTGGTTTGACCCGGTTCAGCGACCACAGTGTGAAACCTTCCTTCTGTGTCTCTGCAGTGACGGGTTTGGATCTGTGGGGCGCCGTCATTTCTACAGGCGTGGTCTGCACCTTCTACTGCACAGTGGTATGTTCGTTTTTTATGGCGTGTTTTGACGTCACTCTGAGTTTTTTTTTTTTCCATATATTTTAATAGACGTGTGTTTGTGGTTGTTGCAGGGCGGGCTGAAGGCAGTGGTGTGGACAGATGTGTTTCAGGTAAACGTGGTCGGTGACGATAAGTCAAATTAGTGGAGGAATGAGGAGCTAAACCTCCAGTGACGAAGCTGTGGGACACTGATTCTTAAACTCAGTTCATCTGAAAAAGAAATTAAATTGAAATTTAATTAGGAAAATTTAAACAAACCTCAAAACAACAACAACAACAACAACAAAAAAACAAACAGTTATATTGTGGCAGCTCCAGCAGCAAAAAAATGATCATAAAAGATTGAATAAAAATACAAAAATTCTCCATAATTAGAAAAAAGTTTCCAGCCCTAAATTTATATTAAATTGTATGTATTTTTTGTATTTTTAATGTTTAATGAACGATATTTACATGAGTGAAAGCCATTAAATTACCTATAATCCAATAATAATATTAATAATAATAAAATATGTATTGATTTTTCTGTTAATTAATTGAATTACAACAATAAACTTGTATTGAACAACTTCATATATTAAATAAAACTGTGAAATTATGATGAAATCGATTGTTATTTATCTATAAATCTACAAAGTCTTTCATATCAAAAATCTGTCTTTGTTTTGTTTTTGTTTGATAGTAGTTTTTTAAAATGCTATTTTAAATTAGATGTGTACATTTACAGTTTATTTTGTATTTTTATTTATACTTTTGTGTATTTCTATATCAAAAAAATTGAAATTTGTAAAAATTTAATAGAAAAAATGAATAAAATCCATTTTGTTTGTTTTTTTTTTCAGTGTAAGTAACAGTAAAATGGTTGCTGAATGATTAGATAATGGTTTGCAATTACAGTTTATTACCAAACAGTATGGATAAACTAATAAAACTAATTAAATAGACAAATGTAATGGGTGAACAGATGAAACAGCTGAAAGGTGAAAGTTAGAAATGTTCACATTAACGCTGAAACTGAGGAATAAGTGGCTTCAACTGAACCGACCTAAACAACACTGACAGTTCATCAGGATAAAAATGTTCTCAGAAAATCCACTTTTACATAATTAAGTATCAAATCAGATCTAAATTAAAATGAGTCCACCTCAGCAAGACTCTGATCCCTGATTATATAGAAGCTGTAAACATCAGAACACGTCACCCTTGTTTCATTCAAAACTCCAGATTTCTGTCTCATGTTTTAGAATAAAGTAAAATATTTGATATGGGATCCGTGTACATTAGTTTAAGGCTTACAAATGGGTGAAATTAGAACCACAGTGACCTAAACCGATCTAATATTTCCACTCCAGTTGGGCGTGATGATCGCAGGGTTCCTGGCTGTTATCGTCAGATGTGTGATGCTACAGGGCGGCGTCGTCAGCGTCGTCTCAGACTCGCAACGTGGAGGAAGACTCAACTTGTGGGAGTGAGTCTTAAAGGAATGAACGGCTCCGTTTGAAGCTGGAGAGAGATCAGGCTCTCAGCACAGTTTGTACTGCTTGTTTTTTTTGCAAGAGACTGGAACATGACGAGCTGATAATAATACAAAGTAATTCTGTTTGTGCCGCTACAAGAAACAATCCGCTGAATGGAAACACTGAAGCTCGTGTCCTGTTTGTCTCTCCAAGTTGATCCCCAAAGTACTTTTCTTTAATTTTTTGAGTTTTCAGGAAGTCTGCACCAACGTATAAACTCTGTGAATGTCACCAAACCTGGATACAGCAGTTAAAATGCTACTCAAGATGCCATTAATGGAGATAAATCATCTCAAACATAAGCATAGCGGGTGGTTTGTGGTAGGTTTCGGCATATGTTGTTGATTATAAGTTGGTGCGGAAATATAGAAATGAATGAATGAATGAATGATTGTCATACCAGCACATGTATCAACATAAGATGGCACGAAATTAGTGCTCGGGTCCCGGTTGTAAGCCAGTAGAATCAATAGAATATAAGAGAACTAAAGAAAAACAAGACAAACAAAACAAAAACAAAGCACTATAAGAACAATATAAGTCAGTGTTTTCCTGTGAAAAACAGATAAATAGATAAATAGGCATGTGTGCAAAAAAAAAAAAAGTAAAAACTGAACCATTTATTAGAGCCAGAAATTGTAAAAACAAAAATAATTGTTAGATTTTTAAGTTAGCGGTGGTCCTTGAACTACTCACCTGGTTGCAAAATGATCCAAATCTAAACTTAAAACTGTAATATTTCATTGAAATAACTTTTTCTACATTCCTTTGCTAAATAATTGGAAAAACAAATAAACAATCTGAATTAATAAGATTCTGAAAAGCTATTATTGAGTCAGCTGTAACAAAAACTGTTGCTTTTTTTTTAGCTGAACTCCAGGCAGCGTTCACGCAGCACGTAGTGGACAAGTATGCAAACAAATGAGAAATCTATGTAGTACAATATCTATAATGTTTAGAGCCATTTTTAGTCATGGTTGTTCTGTTTCCATAGAGCTGCAGGACTTAATACTGCAGTGAAAAATGAGCCCACAGTGAGTGAAAATGTGAAAACAATGTCCAGAAACTGTTTGGAGTTCACTCGTGTCCGGCTGCCTGCTCCACTGATAATAAATGTCTCAAACTGATCCTCAGTTGAAACTCGTTTGGCTAAACTTCACCTTGAACTCTTTCTCTGTTTCATCAGCTTCGATACGAACCCTCTGAGGAGACACACGTTCTGGACCATAACCGTTGGAGGAACCTTCATCTGGATCAGCGTTTACGGGATCAACCAGGCTCAGGTTCAGAGATACATCTCCTGCAAGAGCATCACTCACGCCAGACTGTGAGTCCTGTTTTACACATGACAGCAAGTCTCCTCTGGAACAAACTTATATTTACCATTGCATACTCAGACACTGTAGTGGAGACAACAACAGGGTAGCATGCAGGAAACCTGCTGTCCCCTGCTGTCTGCAGTAGTAACACAAAACCTCTGTGTTTAGTTGCATGTTTGTGACTCTGTCTGTGTGTCTTTCTTCATCCAGGTCCTTGTACATCAACCTGCTGGGCCTGTGGTCCATCCTGCTCTGCTCGGTGTTTGCAGGAATGTGTCTGTACTCAGTCTATAAACACTGTGACCCCTGGAAGACCGGCCTGGTCTCTGCTCCGGATCAGGTACAGCTCAGAGTTACGGCTTAACCGAACACAAATCCATCAAATCCAATGAAGATCAGAAAGTAGTTTCCAAAGTAGTTTCTGGGCCTTTTTTTTCTTATTTTTACTCACTGTACGGTGATATAAAGTCCTAGATAGAGATAAATAGACACTTCATTCATCAAACGAATGTGCAATTAACTTCCAAATGATGCTGCTTGAAGAAATAAGGTGCAAAAATGACTGATGTTTAAAATAAATGTGCAAAACTGTTGGTATTTACAATAAAAAGAGTGTTATTTATCAATGGAAATTATTAATGGCTAGAAGTAGAGGGAACTCAAAAATGTGTTTTGTGTAATATAATATATTTAAAATGCCACAAATCATAAAAAAGAAAAAACTTGCAGTTGAATTTTGTTTCTGATACTGGAAAAAAAAAGTGATGATACTAGTACATAAAATAGATATTTAACTACTCACATGTTTAACTGGTTTCCATCTGTCATCTGATTGGTGTCTACACAGCCTGCAGTTCAGCTGAAATGTCCGAGAATTTTTATTACAGAAACTGGTTAAAACCAACAGTTTATTTTGTTTTTTGGCAATTTTTTTTACATGAAAAATGAAGTGATTTGGATTAAATTTCACAATTTTAAGGCTTAGATTTATTTTAATTTATCCTGCAATAGACACGTCACTGGTGAGGAGTTCAAGTGCTGTCGGAAAGTTCAAAATTCTTTCGGCTTTTACAGTTTCTGGCTCTGATAATTGTTATTTTGGCAGTTTTTTAAAGACAACATGCACTTTTTGGGGCGCTGCTATAGCTCACCTGGTTGATCTGCCATCCCATGTGCAGGGCTACAGTCCCGATGTCGAGGTCATGAGTTCAAATCCTGCTCATGGCCCTTTACCTCATTCATCTCCCCCACTTTCCTGTCTCTCTCTCACTGCCTCCATCCACTCTCTTTAACATCTACTCCAGTGTTATGTATTCACATATAGATGGTGCTCAACATCCCTGATCCTTCACGTTAATACAATATATCACCGTCCTTCTGTAGCTGATGCCGTACTTGGTGATGGATGTCCTGGGAGACTACCCGGGCCTTCCTGGACTCTTTGTCGCAGCAGCGTATAGCGGATCTCTGAGGTTAACATTAAAGTTTTTACTCTCAACAGATCAAACTCTGTGATTTTACTCCGATTTACTCTTTTTTATTAACTGCTTTTCTTGTGGCTTTTCCAGCACAGTGTCTTCCAGCATCAATGCTCTGGCTGCAGTGACAGTGGAGGACCTCATCAAACCGTACACGAACATCTCAGAGAAACGTCTGTCCTGGATCTCTAAAGGAATGAGTACGTGGAAAGTCCTCGCATATGTCAACTGACTGGCAAACACTGATACGAATAAGCAGCAATGTAACGGTGCTGACGATAACTGTATGTTAATAAAATTACATATTAACATCTTAATTGACACTCTAACATCGGAACAACACACAGCACAGTTATGAACACAGACTCTTCATCTGCCTACAATCACATCTGGAGTGTAATTCATTAAGATATTGAAATATATATGTACAGATTTAGGACAACTAAGCTTTAGAGCAGCCTTCTTCTTCCCATCAAATGCTCCTTCTTCATTGATAGTTTCATGAAAAACCTCAAGATGTACACGTTTTTAAAGGCTTTTGGCTGCTCTTAATGGTTTTATATTAATTTTTGTTTTAGAAATTGATCTTACAAGTTGCTATCCTGTTTTACGCTGTTTTATTTTGTTGTATCCTCACTTTGGTCAACTCAGGTTGTGCTGTATATAAATAATTTAGATTCAGTCGGACAGCCTTAGTACCAGTTAAGGTTCAAACTGTCTAATCCTTACCGGTTGCTGCTTGCAGGTCTTCTATTTGGGGTTTTATGCATTGGGATGGCTGGACTGGCCTCTCTCATGGGAGGGATCTTACAGGTAGAGTGGATCGTGTAGTACTTAACCTACATTATCTGGACAATCACAGAGCACTGGTCTTTTAATGAGGATGAACTTCCCTTTCTACAGGCAACCATCAGTATATTTGGGATCATTGGAGGTCCGTTACTTGGCCTGTTCACACTGGGCATCATCTGTCCATGTGCCAACTCCAAAGTAAGTCATGTACCTGTTATTTTACTGCCTATAAAGAACATTAATCTAGGATTATAAATGAATATTTCTCCTGGTGTATCAGTTCTTAAAGTCTCACGTATCTCTACATTTCATAGCACTTGCCGATTCCCACCACTTTGAAGCTTCTGCATCCCATTTACTCCATTTTAGCGTTTCCACTGATTAAGGTGTCTTCTAGGGAGCGTTGTCGGGTCTCATATCAGGGCTGGTTGTGTCTCTGTGGGTCGGCATCGGAGCCCAGATCTACCCTCCTCCTCCCGAGATGAGCCGGCCTCTGTCTCTGACCACCGAGGGTTGTAACTTCACCACTACCGGTTTCAACGGTAACTCCACCGCTCTCCCAACACAGCCAAGTTCTACCACCACATCCCCAGCACTGAATGGTACCAAGTAAGTACGGGTTTGCCATTTTTATCATCTTCAGTTTAGGTAGCGGTAATGCAAAAGAGCTAAAAGAATCCGAAATGGTTAATTTTAAAATACCGATGACAGTTGTTTTTTTTTAATATGTACTGAATTTCTCTCCTTGCATTTACTATTTGCATACACTAATCATTCACAACAGTAAAATTACCTGTTTAGTCTTGTGTAGATCTACCTCATGCTGCCAAAACAGCTCTAAACCATCAAGGCCTGGACTCTACAAGACCTCTGACGGTGTCCTTTGGTATCAGGCACCAAGATGTTAGTGGCAGATCCTTTAAAGTTCTTCTTCTGCTGTTAATTTAACTCCAACAAACTAATCTCTGTGTATTTACGTTACATATTCCAAAGTTTACCATTGAAAATAATCCTTTTTCTGCCCTAGAACACCTTAGATGTTACTCTACACTGTTGCTTCCTCTAGAACGGGCAGATCTAGGACGTCCATGTTCAACTCTTCTCAAACATGATAAAACTACTGTACAGTCCACAATGGGAAGTTGTTTCTTTGGAGTAATTCTGCCAAACATGTTGGAAACCAAGTATGAAGAAGAATACTGATACAGAAAGCTCCACCCTGCAAGAACTGGTTCCTTCGATTTGATACGAACGAAACCCAGAAATCTGTGATTTGTACGCTGCAGCTTCAAGGTGGAAATGTTCAAGTGCTTTCAAGTGTATAAAAACCACCATATGGATATGTTAACAGGGTAAAAAAAAATAGATTTATAGAAGGGCTCGTTAATTCATGGAAGTCTTGACATGATGACTTCATGGTTCTTGGGAATTTGGAGACTGAGTCCACACCTTCAACTCTTTGTCCTCAAATCATTCCTGATCAATGCTTGCAGTGAAGAAACAGATTGTTGCCATTAGAAAATGCTGCTGCCATTAAACAGTGTCTGTGGTCTGCAGTGATGTTTAGCTACGTGTCAAAGAAACGTCTACCTGAAAGCAACGTTTCCCAGCAGAACACTGTCAGGAGCATCCCATCAGCTCCACTGGCTCTCCTTCTGCTCATAAAGCATCCTGCTGCCATCTCTGCAACAACCCAAACGATGAATCCAAATGATTCTTCACAACAGGCCGCCTTCTTTTATTGCTCCATGGTCCAGTTCTCATATGTCCATTGTTGGACCTTTCAGTGGCAGACATTGATTTCATGGACTGGGTCAGAATTGTCTCTCTGACCAGTCTGCAGCTCTATACTTAGCAAAATGTGATGCCCTGTGTGTTCTGACACCTTCTATCGTAGCAGCATTCAGGTTTTCAGCAGTTTATGTTACATTAGCGCTGCTTTGGGATCACACCACGTGGACCAGCCTTCACTCCCATCAAGCATCCTTGGGTGCCCATAACCCTGTTGGCATTTCATTGCTTGTCCTTCCTTGAACCACTTTGGGTAGATCTTTGGTCTTAGGCCTTATGGTGCCCCTTTTTTCTTCAAGAACCGACTGTTTGCTTGCTGCCTTAAACACCCTACCCCTTGACAGGTGCCATTCTAGCACAAATAATTAGCATTATTCACTTCACTTATCATTAATGTTGTGGCTAATCTGTGTAACTATGTCCTCCCATCAACAGGCCTCTGCTGGCAGACTGGTACTCTCTGTCCTACCTGTACTTCAGTCCAATTGGAACCATAGTAGTCGTCGGTGTGGGACTCATAGTCAGCGTGGTTACAGGTAAACAACTTTTTGTCTGAATAAATCGTGCTGACCTGTTGTTTTCTACTGAGTCTGGAGGTTTTTGATGCTCTTTGTTGTGCTTTAATGCTCATTTAAGGAGGCTGGAAGCTAAAGGTGGAGTCGAGGCTCACGCTAATGAAAGAAGACACAACTCTTTATCACGTTTTCAAGTTTCTCAAAGGCACAGTGAGTACCACAGCAGTAAAGGGGTATCAAAAAAGATGAATAACAGCTACTGAGTTTTTTGTTCTTCCTTGTTCAGGTGACGAGGCGAAGAGGAAAGCTCGACCTGGAAAAGGACCGAGAGAAGAAGTTTGGCAACACGAACTCTGCTTTCTGTGATGTTGAGCTGGACTTAACCAAAAGCAGTGTTTCCTCGTGAAATGCAATCAATGTTTGTTATATAAGTTTGTGGTTTGAATGTGTTTTTCTCTACAAGAAATGACGATGAAGTTGTGACGCCATGTGACTTGTTTGTTTTTTAATTAAAGAGCCCATATCAGGCTTTTTGGGGTGGTTCCTCTTTTTCCTTTAGGGTGTTGTATGGATGCTTTTTTATGCGTGCAAAATGTTTGCAAACTTATAAACTCTTTCTTACAAGAAACGTTGCTCCTTACCTGTCTGAAACACCTCGTTCCAAGTCCATGCTTTTCTTCCTTTACTCATCTACATCACCATGTAACACATTTACATGACATAACACTCGGCTAGAGGCTAATTTAGCAAAGACTGAGCGGCTAATTTCCTCACTAGAACTTCTTCTGCTAGAAATACATCCCTTCACTCACATATCTGTGGCTACTAGCCAACATCACTTCCCTTTGGTCCGGCCAGTTGACCAATCAGAGCAGCTTTTCAGGAAGGGATTCTTAAAGAGACAGGAGCTCAAACCAAGCGTTTCAGACAGAGTTTTAGTTTTTTCTGTGAATTTAATAGATGTTCTGTGCAATTTAACAAAACAGAAAAAAAATCCATAAAATAGCAGTCAAAAAATTATTTACCAATTTTGAAAATTTTAAATTTCAAAATACACATTTCTTCTTTCAAATAACAGAACATATTTGTAAAATATATATAATATATTTTTGCTGATTTAAGTCCAGTGAAGTGGTGTAATTTTACAGTCAGACTGAAAACGTTATCATTTGTACAAATATTGATTTTTTTACGTGGACGTTATTGACAGCTTTTGTGTTTTATTTTTTTAAGAGCATACATGTAAATTGATGCAGGTTTCTGTAATTTTACTAGTTGTTATGTGAATTTTAGGAAAAAGGGGAAACTGTTTAAAATAACAGCAATTTAAAAAAAAAAAAATGCATTTAAAAGCTGTTAATTTTGTTTTGTTTTGTTTTGTTTTCCAGTGTACCAGGTTATTTCATGACATCCACTGTGTTGTAGAGATTAAAAAGACATGAAAAGAAAATGAATAAACAGAATTTTATACAAATATTTAATGCTGCTTTCATATTTTTTTTGTTGCTCAGAATAGATACAAGAATTCCTAACACACATTCATGAATGCATGCTGAAATACGGTATTTTTATTATTATTGTTATTTTTTTTTTTTTTTTTAAATTTTAACCCCATTTACATTAACTCAGATAAAACATCAACTCTGGTCAAAAAAAACCTCCTCAATTTACAGAAATGCGGCTTCTCCCAGCATTTCTCCTTCTTTCCTTCAGTATTATCCTCTTTAATGATTGAACAAGATGTTGTTCCTTATACATTAACCTTCAACCAATGAGCTACGGACAAAAGAGGGCGGACAGTGGTGGAAAAAGCAGCTTAACACAAGCAAACAAAAGATAAAGTAATAATATAAATAGGTACAAAGGAACAAAAAAAAAAAGACAGAAACTAAGGTGCATACAGACGATTTACAAGCAGCAGAATGTTGTGTAGGACCTGATGAAGTCCCGGTGACCTTGTCCGGTACAGTTGCAAATTGGACCGTCTGTTATCAGCTGTGTAACTCCTCTCAACACAGGATGTTCTATACTGAGATGCATCTGTAAATTAGTATCACACCGAGAGAAGCTGCTTCTCCTCTTTGCTTTGCTGCTGTGAGGTTGAGCTCAGATCGGCCTCCTGTCACAACAAAACACTGATCTTATTTCTCTAAACTGATCTCTTGTGGGATTTTATCAACAGGTTCCAGGGGTTTACAGGCAGAGGACAGCCAACAGAGTGTTAAAATGCCAGGGGTGACCGGCTCCTTCGTGGTGGCCGACTACGTGGTGTTTGCCATGCTGCTGGTTCTGTCCGCCGCCATCGGGGTTTACACCGGATGGACCGCCAGAGGCCAAGGAGGCGCCGGACATTTCTTAACCGGGAGCCGGAAGCTGACTGCTCTGCCTGTTTCTGCGTCCCTCATCACCACCTTCATGTCATCTGTGACGCTGCTCACCAACCCAGTGGAGGTACAGTGACAGCAGCTCGGCCTTGTCATGGACTTTAAAGTCTTTTTTTTTTACTGCAGATTCCTCTTGTTGCTGGATTGTATTTTGCTCAGGATGGATAATAATATCGATTCAACTGCACTGCTAGTTTATTATTATTATTATTATTATTATTATTATTATTATTATATATTTTGATTTAGATTTTTTTACTTGCTGTAGTCATTTTACTTTTATTTTTTTATTTTTCCTATTTCTATTATTCTCCTTGCTCATTCCTGGGCGACACCAACAGCCAACACCAAATTCCTTCTATGTTGTGTACATACTTGGCCATTAAAGCTGATTCTGATTCTGATTCTGGTTAAGCTCAGCTCTGCTAAACTCAGCCTTTGTTAATCCCGCAGTGGAGAAAGTTGAGCTGAAAGTGCAAAAAATGTAGGAACATCAGTAAAAATAAATAAATAAATAATAATAATATTAAAAATTCTGTTATCTATACTTGTGTTTCTAATATGCTGCACTGTAAAAAGCAAACAAACAAAAAAAAACTTTTAATTTTATGGAATTTGGAATAATTTTTTAGAATAACAATATTATAAAAATAGGCAGAATTTTTAGTATCTGAAGTAAAACAACAGTAAAACTAAATAAACTCTGAAATAAAATCTGATTATCTATCTTTCTGTTATGGATAATTGAAAATTTTTACATGTGTACATGTTTTAAATAAATGCTTTCATGTAAGATGAAGGTTATAACATGTGTGTGTAGATGGAGCATTTCGCACTTTTTGCTTTTTTGTGTTATACTTTACCGTTTTCTTTACAGTGAACAAACTTAAATTATCTGGATTTTTCAACTTCGATAAACTTCAGTGATCCACAAGAGAAATAGTTTTATCACAGTCGCAAGCACACAAAATAAATATTATATAAGAATATACAAAAAAGCAAGCAGGAAAAAAAGAATAAAATACAACATTTTTCATATGTACGATTTTACTTTACTTTAATTTTTGGGCTGCTGACCTTGTGTTTGTGTGTCATTGTTCATCAATACTCATGGTTTTGTTTTACTGTAAACTTAACAAAGCTCTCTCACCTGTAGGTGTACCAGTACGGCGCCATCTTCGGACTCTTGAGCATCTCCTACATTGTGGCCATCGTCGTCTCGTCTGAGATCTTTCTGCCGTTCTTCTACAGGCTGAACATCACCAGCGTCTACGAGGTGAGTCGGACTGAATCTGATGGATGACACGTCGTATGGCTGTAGGAGGACAGTGTGAAATAATTTGCTTGTTTCTCAAATAGCCTAACAAATATAACTGATAGTGGAATAAAAAGGACAAGATGCACCTTCGAAATGAGTTGAATTAGAAGTAGAGCAACGATAAAGCAGCTGAAGAACGTCAGATTTTAGGGGAGGTAAATGTTCCAGAGCCATCTGGACTGTCTGAAGTCTAACTGTGGGTCTATTTTCATTTAATAATGAGTAACTTGTCTGTGTTTTGATTCTGTCCAGTATCTGGAGCTGCGTTTCAACAGAACAATCCGTCTGCTGGGAACGCTGCTCTTCATAGCTCAGGCAGTGAGTAAAAGAAAACCCACACATCTGTCACCTGGAGGAGTTTTTATTTGTATTAATTAAAGATTTATATGTTTTCGTCACAGATACTCCTCAATGGATTGATCATTTACGCTCCAGCTCTTGCTTTAAACCAAGGTAGGTTGTGTTTACTTACAGCGGTGAGTCACAGCCACGGTTTACGTCAGTTTTCTCTGTTGTTCTGTCTCTACAGGGGCTGGTACGGATCTGTGGGGTGTAATTATTTCAACAGCCGTCGTTTGTACTCTTTACTGCACCGTGGTTAGTAAAACAACAACAACAACAACAACAACAACAACAACAACAACAACAACAACAACAACAACACAGAACAAATCAAATTTGCTCTAAGCCAATTATTAAATGCTCCTTTGTAGTATTTTTTAAAGTGTTCTTACTGGAAAAATTATTTATTATGAAGTTTTTCCAGGATTAAATTCGAGTATTTGGCGAATTGGTTTTTTCCATCTTTCTGCTTGATCATCTCTGATTTGCTTGAAACTTTTTCATCTCTAACTATGGATATTCAGTGGCATCAATGAAATTTTACATTGATGTATCCAGGACTGTCTGAGATAAAAATGTTTTAGGATATTTGCCGGTTGACTAACATTCAGCTTGTTTTTCACAAATTGTAATTTGAGGCTATGTTCTTTGTTCTCGGAATTCTCACTGTTATTTCTTATCTTGTCATTGATTTAAAATCTGCAATATTGGACAAATAGATCAGATAATTACTTTGGCATTGTTAGTTTTTAGATGTTGTCACAAAAGCATAACTATCTCGGAAAGTACTGGATGTTCCTAAATATAGCTTTATGGCTAACTCCTGCCTCAATATCTGCTTGGTTCATGAAAAACATTTTGGTGATTTGAGATTGAATGACTCCAATATTGGCATTTAAAATACCAATTTATTTATTTTGTTTCCCAATATTATGTCCAACAAAGTCAGTTACTGGTACCCCTACATTAATATTTACATGTATAATTTGACAAGAACTAGTTTTCTTTATTCAGATGTTGGCATCTTAAGACAAAATATTTTGCTCAAATGGGACTATCAGAGGAAAACCAAATAGTGCTCGACAAACTCCAATATTTGATATAAAAATCAATGTAATTCAACAGCAAATCAGTTCTCACTTCTATATTTTTTGCTCTTGAACCTAAATATGTCTCTCAGCCAGAGGGAACTCTCTAACAGTTGTTCTACTTGACACTTCCTGTGTTGTGGTTTCCATTGCTACAGGGTGGAATGAAGGCGGTGGTGTGGACTTGTGTGCTCCAGGTAGGAGGTGTGGATGTAGTGTTACCATACAGGAGTGGTTTGGAATTCTCTAAATTTTTATAATTTTATCTAAATTACAACCACATTTGATTAACGCTGGGGAGCACTGCAGTATCTATGTGAAATATCCCTATTCTTCTTAGATTGGAGTAATGCTCGCTGGCAACCTGTCTGTCATAATCAAGGCTGTGATGTTACAAGGAGGAGTCGGCACCATCTGGTCCGATGCCCAACAAGGAGGAAGGATCAACTTGTGGGAGTGAGTATGAAAATGAAAAAGTCTGCCAGGTCATCATAATGATAAGAGCTTCAGGAACGTTTTGGTTCTTGAAGACATTTCAAATCTCATCCCAAAGACCTCTTCCCTTCTGACTGAATGATGGGGAGTCTCAGATATACATCACCCGGATCTTTATGACCCAGAAGTCAATGGCTAAATTGCAAACCAATACCACATATCCCCAGCATCAAAAAGCCCCTCTTGGATTTTCTCCAAACATATCGAGCATTTCAAATCCAACAAGACTCTTAGATAAATACAATCTAAGGACAAAACACCCAAACACAACACTGTAGTGCACAGACCTATATATAGATGAGACCAAATAACCACATGAAAAAAACAAATAGCCATCTTTAAACAGAGGACGGAATCTATGCCACCACTTAAAGCAGACTCGAACCCATGGCCGCTGCATCAAGGGCTACAGCTCCTGTTTATGGGTCCCCCGCTCAACCAGTTGAGCTCCCGGGGCACCTGAGAGCCAATCCTTGGCCTGAAGTTACAGATCCAACTTGCCGACTTCCCCTACCTGTCTTGTTCCAACATGCCCGAGGCTGTTCACCTTGAAGACCTGATGTGGATGCGGGTACGGCCTGGTGCAAGATGTACACCACCTCCGCAGTCTTGAGACTTCTACCAAGAAAGTTTCACCAACAGTCTTGTTAAAGGGCCATTAGTCATACGAGTTGTGACTGATGGGACTCTGGGACGCATCATCAGTCAGTCAGAGGTAAAGGAGCCCATTGGACGAGGAGTGCGATGTCTTCAAGAACCAAAAAGTCTAGCTGACTTTGAAGTTCTTAGGAAAAAGAATTTGTGCAGGTTCAATCAAGCTTTGCACCTTTCAACTTCCGTGAACTGAAAACCATCCCGGTAATGTGGTTCCCCAGCTTCGACCCGAACCCTCAGAGGAGAAACACTTTTTGGACCCTCACTATCGGAGGGGCGTTCGGCTGGACCACCACCTACGGCACCAACCAGGCTCAGGTTCAGACATACATCTCCTGCAAGAGCGTCACTCACGCCAGAGTGTGAGTAGCATTTTCACTGAGAAGAACTCAGGCCAGAGCAACTCTTCTCACATCCATTTCATTGGACGGATTCATAGGAAAGCTCGTGATTATTCTAAGGTTGTGTTCATGCATTTCACCTGGTTGTATCGTTGTGTTATTTGCAGAGCCTTGTACATCAACCTGTTGGGTCTCATGGCCGTCTTGCTGTCGTCTGTGTTTGCTGGATTGTGTCTTTATTCAGTCTACAAGAGCTGTGATCCACACACTGCTGGACTGGTTTCTGCCTCTGATCAGGTAACACTCTCAGGCATTGTGCTTTGGATTGGTATCATGCTGAAATATATCTTGATTAGTCAGTGTTTTGATATATCCACAGGAGCTCATGGTGCATCTATAGATGTCATCTCCCCAACACCTTTTGCACTCCCATATAATCACATCTCTGTGCTTCTCTGTCAGAACTATGCATTCACAAAGCAGGATTTGAAGTTAGCAAGATAACTTCGGGTTTAAGTCTGCATTTATTCTGGGTTTTTTAGAGTGCAACTAAGCAAGATGTTCATTGAATAGAATATACAGCTGTAAGAATAGTCAGATCTCCTTGTGTCCCAATAATTTGATGGTGATATCGATAAGTCCGTTAACATTCACACAGTTACTTTCACTCATCTCTATTATCAGTTTACAATCTTCATATTTTTCTAATATTATAGTTGGAGACTCTTGTGTATGTGAATGCACTCACATCCAAGTTCAGAAACCCTGGTTGACTGACTAAGTTTGTAACCAGATTTGTAAGACCATATATCCCAAGTGTGGTTGTTAGGTTAGGTAAAGCCAGATAATAAAATATCCTGGATATGTTGAACCTGCTTCGTAGTACAGACTCTTGGCCTGGTTCACGTCAGACCCTATCGAAGTTGAAATGGATATGTGACCAAAACAAATGCTCTACCAACATTCATCAACATTATTTTATTTTATTTTATTTTTTTTAAGCAAAGTTTGTTTTTGCATTTTCGTGCTAAACAGATTTTTTTTTCTTGGATGCCATTCATAGAGGTTTACATTATACACTGTCCTTCACACTGGCTGAGCTCCCACAGAAACTCATTTGTTCTACTGATAACCACTGTGCAAAGTCTGATGCAAACATGAAAATAAACAGCCCATGGCTCCAAAACTGAGAAAGTTCAGCTTATTTTACAACCATGTTCACGCAGTTAGACTAATTGGAAACCACAGGAGGTCCCAGTTTTGTTTCTGTGATCAGAGGTTTTCTAATTAGTGTGTCAGTGATCACAGGCGTGTACACTTTTGTTGCATTGAGTTCCTACTTTGAGGCGTCAATGTTTAATGTAATAACTCCCATTGTACGCCATATGCATTAATTTCTCTAATCTTTTCTCAATAGCTGATGCCGTATTTGGTGATGGACATCTTGACAGGCTACCCAGGCCTTCCAGGACTTTATTTTGCAGCAGTGTATAGTGGCACTCTGAGGTTTATACGCAGCATTTCTTACATTTTTACCCATTTAACACTTGTGTTGCCATTTTGTACTGAATTACTGCTTCCAAGTTCCATTTATCATAATTAAGCAGCTTTTTGATATATTACATCATATATTTAACAGTTTTTGCTGCTATTTCAACCCCAGCACAGTTTCATGCACCATCAACTCGCTGGCTGCAGTGACTCTGGAGGATCTGATCAAACCGTTTACAAGTCTGTCTGCAAAACAACTGTCCATCCTGTCCAAAGGACTGAGTAAGTGGTTCATACTTGTTTACCATATATATGCTGCATGCTACATGAATGACTTGTGTATCGAATGCTGGTATAATGAATTCTGTTAATTAAATCTACTAAATCCCAGTTTTATGTAACGTTGTTGCAGGTTTCGTTTATGGAGTTTTATTCGTTGCCATGGCTGGACTGGCATCATTCATGGGAGGGCTGATGCAGGTAGAGCAGATGTCTTAACAAACGTATGGGCAAACAAACATAGGGACAATGCATTCATTGTAAATTTGGGGAAGAAAATTTGACAACATGCAATCCAAATCCATCCCTTATCTATATAGAACAGATCATCATCTGCATACAGTGTTGTTGAGGTAGAACTGAACTTGTGTGTCTCTTTAATAAACAGGCATCTGTCATCGTCTCTGGGGTCACTCAGGGTTCCATGTTTGGCGTGTTCACTTTGGGTATCCTCTGCCCATTTGCCAACTCCAAAGTAAGTCCATTCCCGTAATCTCACAATGTGATTTTATGACCTCATTCGATCACAAAACAAATGAATCTTGAATTGTGAATAAATAACTTTGCTATACTTACTTGCTCCAGGTTGCTGTTGGCTGCTCATTTCATGACTAAAATGTCAGAGATATTGTAGAAAACTTTCTTTAGTCTGGAATATTCTTTACCCAGACATTAATTATGGGGCCTTCTGCTCGACCATCTCTGATTTGCTCATGACTTTGGTCTTGAAGGCCAAGTTTATTCCCAATGGAGAGCAAAGCGAAACAAGAGAATCCATTTTGTTCTAATCAAACAGGTTCCACAACGATCATGAGAATTAATTTACCACTGTAGCCTTGCACACGTAAGTACATTAGATTACCATTAAATATGTCGAGGCTTGAATGTCTCCCACTAGAAAAATCTCACTATTCCAACAAATCGATGCATTTGACCTTTGTTATAGTCTCCAAATGACCTAATGCGGTGATAATTACCTGCAAAAATGACGCAAAGCTACGTGACAAGTCTCCAAACCGAGGTTTATGCCTACAAAGTCGTATCTGACAAATAAATATATATATTTTAAGTTATATTGTAGGAATCGTTTTGAGACTAGAGATCTGTGCTGTACTCGGATAGGTTGTTGACCAATATTTGTGTTTTTGTTGACAGACCTGCTCAATCGGTTATAAAAGGTCAACAAAAACAACATTTTCTCTAAGGACTCTTTATGCTTTGTTTTGCATCATTGTGACATGAGAAACTATCACTTGTTGACTTCTGTTTTTTGTTAATGTGCATGGCGACTTAAGCTTTTTTTTTTTGAATTTCAACTCACTCCTAATCAGACATTATTTGATCTACTTGATGAGCAACAGCAATGAAGATTTCATGCTTTTTGGTTGAACAGTTCCTGAGAAAAGTCTTAAATTTCAATGTATGAAAAAATTAAAGTTTCAATTTTAAACATCTCACAAAGCATTTGATGTATCAAGCTAACCATAAGCAAAAAAATCCCAGTTCAAGTCTAGATTCATTATTTATTCTTTGGTTGCGACACAGTTTGCTATTTGATGTCCTTGTTGTGTATGTTTTCCTACAGGGATGTCTGTCAGGTCTTGTTTCTGGGGTCATGGCGAGTGTTTGTGTGATCCTCGGGGCTCTGGTTTCCACTCCTACCCCAGAGATGACCCGTCCTCTGCCACTGACCACAGAGGGCTGCAACTTCACTACCAGCCTCAACTCGACTTTCACTGCTCTGCCAACACAACTGGCTCCCTTTACCACGGCGATGTCGCACAACAGCACTGACATGTAAGTGTGCAACTGGCTGTGATCAGATGGGATAACCAAATCTAAATAAATAAAGGCTCCGTTTACTCAAAATAGTGCAAATTAAGGTTCATTTAAAACACTTTCTCATGTATTCACAGTCATATTCTGCAAAACATGTCAATAATATGCTGTAATCACTATTTCCTTTAACCACCAGTCATCGTGGACTAGATGGTTGGCACTCTATTTCCTACCTTTACTACGGTGTCATTGGAACTCTTGTAGCTTTGATTGTAGGAATAATAGTCAGCCTCCTGACAGGTAAATAAGTACCCTTTTATCCCCGCACTTTGTTACCTTCACTGTTTTCGGAAATCAGATCTCATCGCCTTTTTGATGCTTTCCTCCCACTGAACGCTACAGGAGGCCACAGGGAGAAGGTGGACCCGACGCTGACTTTAAAGAGAGAAGACACGCTTTCCTATCACCTGTTCAAGTTTCTCAAAGAAAAGGTGAGTGCAGCTGGAGGAAGGAAGCATTAAAAGGCGACAAACAGCTGCTGACTTCTGCTTTTTCTTCCTCAGATCACCAGAAAAAGAGAGACGTGTCACGGGCCAAGCAACAAGACAGGGAGCAGCACAAATTCTGAGATTTACTTAACAAAAATCAGTTTAAACACATAGAATGTAGCTGTTTGTTAGAAATGACAGCTTTGGGATTTGAATCTGGCATTTTGTCTAGTTTAAAGATGTTTTCTCTAATTCAGAAATGGAGACATTCATTTTGTTTATACATGACAGACAAAGGTATTAACAGAGGGAGATGTACACGGGGGCATCTCCAAAATCAGAAAATACTGTCAACTGCTAGAAAAAACAGCAAGTTTCAACAAGTTTTTCAGCATAAAGTGTACTACAAGTCAGATTGTGAAGGATATATGAACAAATTTCTCAAACAAAACCTTTGAAAGATAGAAATAAAACAGGAAAATTTGGTGTATGGCATGTGTGAAGGAAAAACTACTTTCCTCTCTTGGAGTTAAGTTTCTAGAGCTGAACTTTTCCCCTCAGCTCCTCCGATCGACCCCTTCATGTAAAAGTAGTATTTGTAGCAGATGTGCCAATCTTCTATAGATTTGTGACCTCATATAGATCTATTGTAGGACAGGCAGGCAGGCATTCCCTGTATCTCTCAAGGCCAGATTGCAGCAAGGCACCGAACTATCTTTGCTTTCCTTTCACCCATGAATCTAGATGTGGCTCCCAACGACGGAGGGTACAAGACCGAAGGTGTGAGAGAAATCCTCTCTGTTGGTGTCACTTCTCCTGATCAGTAAACCTCATTTCAACCTAAGTCATCTGAGTCTCCGGTGTGTCTCTCTGTGTCGGGTTCCTCATCCTACATCAGCCTCCTCCAGAATTTCCACAACAGTATGCTGCAGTGGAAGTTTCTGGCTCACTATGAGAAAAAGCTCATTTTGAGAAATGGTACATATTCCATAAGAAATATAAATTCCAAACAATTTTATTGGAAAACACTGTTTAAACTAAAAGATATCAACAGGAAACTTCCCCACTTGATTACTTACATTAAGACATCTATTTTTTGGAATTCTTAAGTCTTGTTTAAACATTTAAATGAAGTATTGCTTCATTAAATGTGCACTAATTTGCAGAAATGTACAACAGACAAAATAGTAGAATAAAGTTCTTAACATAAACTACACGTGCAACTCTCAGACACATCTTCAGTGATGTATCCTGGGGTCATTGGGTGTTTGCAACATCATACACCCTCTCCCAGGCGACCCAGCCACGGGTGATCAGGCCCCGACTTGTGTCCGAGTAGCTTGTGTTGTCCATGGATCACCCCGCCTGATCCAGGTAAACAGCTAGTTGTGCATTTTGCATGTTATTTTTCTATGTGTAATGTTACAGAGGCAAAATAGGCACAAATGAAATTAGCCACATGTTGTTTCTTTTCAGATTATTTATTATGGCACGAGGCATCACAGTTTTAAAAAAATATATGTACATTTTCGTAACACTTTTGATTTTTTTGTCTTATAGTGCATTGAGTCATGAACATTCACTTTTCAAGAAATTTGACCACAAATATATACAGAACACAAACACTTGGGTGTACATGATTCAGTTCCTTTGATACATCCCTCCACAGTTTAATACAGATCATGCAGCTGTCTGTGTTAACTCCTTATAACAATCACAGTTTGGCCATCCACTGGATCAACTGAGCTGAGGGGTGCACCATGAAGCAAGTTTCACATAGTTTTCTTTGTCAACGCAGGTTTTCTTTACTAGATTTTGCACAAAATGAACTACTTCAGTTATAAGGAAGAGGTTGTTATTATGGAAAGCTATAAAGAACACATTATCCCTTAAAGCACTGCTGCTGCAAATAAGGCAAGAGAGGAATGTCGATAGAAAACTGTTAATGGTGTAAGTTATTAGATCTGTTTTACTCTGATGTGCAGCAGCAAATCAGGATCAAACAAATCAAACTTAGTTTCACTCCGTGGCATCACAAACTTACAGCTCAACAGGTTTGCAGGTCTACTGTATTCTCTGATCTTATAATCTGCACTGCTCATGGATAATATGATCAGAAAGGGAGGCTCTTCTTACAGTCGATTTAAATCTGAAACTCTGAGCATCACTACCTCTGGTGAAGTTGCCACAGTGATCTATCCAGGTGTAAATGAGTGCTATCTTACTGAAAACTCCGACTTCAGGCTCAACAAACGTCTCAAAACTCATCAGTCTGGCTTCACAGCACACCCCTCAAATGAAATGCTGACTTGTGCAACGCTACAAATCTGCCAAACCAGAACTCTGTGAGAGAAAATCTATGTTAATAGCATGATACAGTATTTGAGATTTGAAGCACTGGCCTTAAATTTCTCTTTTTTTCCCCCATATAAAAATAAACTTTCTGTAATTGCTATTCCAATATCAGTCATAGAGTTTTCCATCCCCCCCCTGTGAGGCAGAAGAGCTGCTGTTGGGACGTTATGGGTGTCCAGTGGTGTGTAAGTGAACATAGAAAACTGATCTGAGCTATGACACATTGTTGACACACAGATCGCACTTCGGTTAACTGTTCCCTTTGTGTGTGTTTCATCCCAGGACGGTGATTTGAAGCTGTGTGTTGCTATTTCTCGGGTTCATAATACCTCTTCTTCATCGCCCTGTACTTCCTGAGGAAATAGAGAGCCTCCAGCTCCTTGATGACAAAGTCTCCTCGGGCCACCAGCTTCTTGATCTGCTCAGGATCCGTCACGTCTTTGTTCTTCATGAAGGCTGACTTGAGACGGTCCCTGAAATAAGCGGATCCCTTCGGGTACTCACGGCCGAGATACAGCAGCTGGTAGGGAGATAAGAAACACATTAAAAAAACAACGCAGAAGAACCGAAACTTGTGGATTTTGAAGCATTAACTTACATTTTTGTACAGCTTGATAACCTCACCCCTTAAAGGGTTGGCCATGTCAGAAACAAAGGCTTCCTTTGGCACTTCTGAAACGAACGAAAAAGCAAACAGCTGCTCGTTATGACAACAAAACTAGCTAGCTGGTCAATAGCTAGCTTTCGAGTTAGCATTTAACGCTGTACATTTATCACAAACTCTAACAAGGACCACATTAAATCAAATTACATTAAAATAATACTTACGCGTGTTATTTTGTTGGTGGTTTTACTTGAACAGCCCGACAATGAAGAGTAGTCTCCTTTTCAGTTTGTCCTTTGCATAGAGGATAACTCACTTGTACACACTGCCGTATGCCGTGCCGTTATGTCGCAAATAAAAACACACAAGCGCGCATGCGCAACGGTTTCTATAGTTACCCAGACGCTTGAGAGTTTGTTGGAGCGTTAACATGGTGAGTTTTTGACATTTTCCTCTAATAAATTGCCTTAAATCTGATCATATTCAACAAATTTAAACGGCAACTAACGATATATGTAGTGATTGTGTTAAAACAACAAAAAAGGGTTTAAAATTAACTTTTGGATAGAAGTAGGCATCGTCCTGGAGTTAGCTAGCTTGCTTTGAAGTTAGCAGGAACAACTTATCAGTTCTCTTTTCTTCCGTATCTTACCTATTTCTCTCTGAATTTGTGTTTTTAAAGCATGCCATTCTGTAACTTTCTCTCTGTGTTTTCTCCTGTGAGTAATAGGCGCCCAAGAAAAAGAAGGTATGAGCAACAGGCAGTCAGCACATTCCCCCGTAGCACTTATGAGCATAGATAAGCTGAATGCAGGAAGGCCAACACTGCAGTATACCATCCTCCCTGCTAGCTTTTCCTCTAATTATCACTATCATACAGGAGTGTACAGTCACTGCACCTTCTCCTCAGCATTGAAAACCCTTTTAAAGTACAGATTGAACATTGACTTGACATTTCTAAACACTTACTTGTGATGCTTTAATGGCTTGAAGTCGTCCAAAAAGGTCCGTAAGCTGACCAAGGCTCAGAAGGCAAAGCTGCAACAAGAAGAGGAGGAGAGGAGGCTGCGAGAGGAAGGTACACCTGTCTCTATACTGCATGGGTGCTGCTTGTAAGCATGACAATCTGAGTATCACATATTGACAAGAAAAGAGATTCCTTCAGTTTTTGCACATGTGCTGAGGTGGTGCTGTGTGTACCATGTGTGCCTTTGATTTATAGAGGAAGCCCAGCTGCAGGCAGAAAGAGAAGAACAGGAGAGACTGGAAAGAGAGAGAAAGGAGAAGGAGGTAGAAAGGCTAGAGCTAAAGGTAAGACCCTGGTGGAAGTGGTGGAAGAAGAATTCAGATCCTTTATTTAGGTAAAAGTGCTAATACCATCCATACATTTATCTATCCACCTGCTGACAGGACCGAGAGCGCAGAGAGGATGAGCTGAACGAACTGCGCCATCTACTGGAGAAGAATCATACTGCAGTAACCAAATGGAAAACTGATGCTGTGGAAACAGCAAAGGTGTGTGTTTCTGTGTTTGTGAGTATTAATAGAGAGAGCCTCTTGGGCAAACATAAGCACACACCGGCATGGAAAAAGATTATTATACAGCCATAACATAATATTATGTTTTTGTCCCTGTCCAGATAGAATAACATCCAAATTATATACTCAATACAAAACTGATCAAACATCCTGATGATAACACGCAGCCTAACGCTTTGTGTCCAGTGGGACAGATACATGCGCTGTGACGGTGCTCCAGACCCGGCAGTGCGGCAGGATATTAACACGTTTATCAGCTTGTGGAGAGACGATCCAGAGGTGAACATCACAGCTGTGCTCAAGCAGTGTAACCTCGCTCTGCAGGTCTGTAGGTTACGTGTATGTGTTTTGCTAGTAATTAAAACTGAGTACTTTCAACAAGCCATTATTTCAAAACATAAATGCTTGATTGGTTTACTGGTTATAGCTGGTGTAGCAAGATTGTACGTAAGACAATGTATGTACCAAAAACCTGAGAGTAAAGCTGTTGTTCTTTACAGCTGGTTGAGGAGCTGGAAGTTCTGCTCAGAGATGCTACGGATCCACAAGAGAACCAGACGTACCAGGAGGCTGTCACAAATTTGCAGGAGCTAATCCACTCTAAACACAACCTCACCACTGAGGAGATTCTGAAGGTACAGGAAACATGTCTGTACTTGTGTTTAGGCTTTGTGAAGCAATTTGCCCCTATAAGAAACCCGCTATCAGCATTTTTTGTGTGTCCCTGGTAACAGATAGCCGGCGCCAACATCGACACGGAGACAGGCAACATGCAGACGGTGATCAGAGACGACAAGGTTACTCTGTGTCTCTGGGCCAACATGAAGAAGAATCCCAGGTTTGCGTTTAAAACTGTAGCATAAGATGCAACACGGGTCTACAGCGAAGAGTTATGATGTGTAGGAGACGCAGGGTCCATCCATGCCTCCATTAACTATACATGCTTTATAGTAGAGGGTCACTGGGGGCTGGACTCTATCCTTGTTGTCTATCACAGAGCTAACACAAAAAAAAGACACCGTGTGCACTCACACTAATACATCTAGCCACTAATTAACCCTCTGAACCCCAAAACCAACTGGTAGGTTTAAAATGAATACTATCTTTACCAAAAATCCACAAAATTACACCATTTATCTGAGCTAAAAACTGTAAAAACAGAAAGAATCATTCTCAGCTTTCTGATGGTTTTTCTGTAACGAGCAGTTCCATCAGAAAACTTTTAAATCTGAGCTTGAAATCATGACATTTGAACAAAACTATCTATCTATCTATCTATCTATCTATCTATCTATCTATCTAACTCCACACAAAAAGGCCACAGCTGAACACTAGATTCAAGTTGACAGCACCAACAGCTGCTCCACTGTGCTGCCAGATGTGCAGCTAAAATTCTCTCCTCTGTCAGAATGCATTCCAAAATGTTTACTCACCCATAAACAAGCTGAACCGACTGGTGTGGTATTTCTCTCATCTTCTAACTGATCTGCTCAGGTTCAAAGGTCTAACATTCGAGGAGGTGGGTCTCGGCTTCGAGATTCCCAAGCAGCTGGCTGTGAGCGACGTCGCTGTTCGGATCCTCCACACGCACCACGACCACCTGTCCATGCTGGCCAGGATGACTCACCTGAGAACACATACAGCCAGCCGCAGGTCTTCTTTCCTACTACTGTCACTTTTATGATGTTTGTTCCTGTGTTCTTATCGTTCTTCCTCTGGTCTCAGGTCTCTTGCAGGAGGCGAGGAAGCTCTGGACGACTTACCTGAGCAGGTGGAGACAAAAGAAAACGGGGAGGTGGAGGAAGACAGTGATGCTCAGCAGCAGGAAGCAGAGGAGGAGGTTCGGTCCATCCGAGGGTTGGAAGGGAGGAAGGTGAGATTAAAGTTCCAGGTCTGGGTCCTGCAGTCAACGTGAGGTTTACATTCTTACTGTTTATGTTACAGAGTGCTATCAGTCTGAAGTCGAGGAAAAGCAGTCCAGCACCTGATGAAGGACGAGAAAGCCACGTACAGACGCAGATGGAGGCACTTGGAGGTAAGAACCTCGGAGCAAAAAGCAGCTGAAATTTAAACCTGCTGTTACTGAATATAACGACTAAACCGATGGAGACTTGTTTATGTCAACAACTGCTGTGAAAGTCGGTGTAAATCAGTTTTCCAAAGACAAAAATCCTTCTTCTGTGCTGCACAAAAGGCAGTTTTGAGTCCTCTCTCTCTACTTCTAGCCTGTTTCCATAGAGGTGCAGGACGTTATTTTACAGTGAAAAAACCTGCAGACAAATGAACCAGCTGCTCTTCTTCTACCTTGAATGATTCTCTTTTCTCTCCTTTTAGCTGAAGGCAACCTGATTTGCCCCTCAGTGCCGCTCACTCAGATGAACCAGGCCGTCCAGGTGGTAGATTTGATGCAGTTCACGCCTCTCGGTGGCGTCTTCTACTACGACGTGTTTCTCCTCCCGCCTCAGGCTCACCAGGTCAACGGCTGGGAAATCCGACAGGTGAACAGAAAACTGTACCCAACAGGCTGAAGGTGGCCTCACACATCCTCACCCTTCATGTCTGTTTTTTTGTAGCTGCTGGACACAGGGCTGCAGATGTTCCACTACCCCACGGAGAAGTCCGACTTAGGCAGCACTGACGCCCTCTCCTGCCCTCCTGTTGGGGCGTCTGTGACACTTCCACACTGTGTTGTGTTCCTTGGAACTCCTCAAGTGGCTCGCTGGGATGCTGCAGGTAGCAGAGACTGCAACGCACGCTGCATTTTCCTATTTATTGTCAGGAACAAGCACCAAAAAATGAAACTGCCTTCTCATGCAGGTAAGCAGTGGAGGATGGACGGCATCACCGATGTTTCTTATGAGGAAGCTGAAGCAAAAATCTCCTTCAAGATGGACTCCTTCCAGGCCTTTGTGCTGATGCAGGAAACCTACATCAACCTTCCCTTCCAGAGCTGGGAGCTGCGGCCGCTGGGCCAAGACTCGGCCATCTTCACTGTCAGAGGGGCTTTAATCGAGCTCAGCATCACTGTTCAGGTAGGAGGTGGTAAAGTAGAGCTGCTTAGATTTTCATGTCATGATTATCAGGACAAAAATGTAAATTAATAATAGTGATAACAATGCAAAGAGTCAAATTCGTCTTTGTTTATTATGTGTTTTGCTTGTTTTTTGCCCACTAAATTACATTTAAGAGCTGCATGTGGTGAGACGGAGAGTTTCTCACCATAAATGTTTTGTATTTTAGTCCTGGTGCTGGATTATTGATGATATAAGCAACCTGGCGTCAATACATTGTATGTTGCAACCCCGCTACTGGAAAGAACTGGACACATATGACACAAGAATGAATTGGGAGATGTTATCAGCTATAATCTGTCTGTTTGGTTCACAGGATAATCAGTGTATGTTGCAGTCGGAGCCAGACCGAGGCCTCTCTCACTTCACGGGGAAGTGGATGAGCGTTTCAGAGCTGCAGAAAGCCATGATCAGCGCCGGGGTCAACGTCTTCGTTAATGAGTACACAGACAAATACGTCAGCACCTGCGGCAAGGTCTGCAGCCTTTACTGCCTACATATGTAAATCAGAGAACAACAAGACACTGGATCTGAGCTGAGCTTGACTTTATGTGGCCAGCTGTGCTGTGTTAACACGTGCTAATGTTAGCATGCAGGGTTAATGTGGTGATGTTTAACAGGGTTCCTGATGTAGCTCAGTGCAGCACCACTAGGGCTGGTGAGGATGTTAGTAGTGTTGCAGGTATTTGAGCATAAAATTATGAAAATTTTGACCTTTACTGATGCATAACCAGCATTTTACAGCAATCAGTGCAACAGTGACATGCTTCACTAAAATTCAAATCTTGTTCTCACAGATGTTTAGTCACATTTCTGTGTCTCTGTACAAACTGCACAGTGTATTTAAATAGAAGTTCACCTTTAAATCACACATTAGATGCTTTGTAGCATCCAGTAACATGACGTTTTCTTGAAAAATGTAATAAAATTAGCACTTAACTTGACTGATAATATAAGATCCAAAGCAGTCGGCCTCCATACAGTGATCTAAGATATTTTCCTAAAGAAAAGAGAGCTCACCTCCCCTCACTACCAAACCACACAAGACAGAAGAAAAACATTGTCATCAGTTCACTTTCATTGTTTAAAACAGGTCATGTGCAACTCAAATCAGCCACAATCAAACACAAAAATCGCTCGAAGGTCGATAAACTGAGCAGAGTCAGGAAAAACTAATTCTAATTCATTGTGCTGAAAAGGAAAATCTAAACACTTCCCCCAGAGCATCTCAGTTCAGTTCAGTTTAGAAGGTTTTGGGTGATTTTATGTGAGGTATGAGAGTGTCGGTGAGGGAGGTAAGGAGGGCAGGAGAGGCTAGTTTGAATCTACCCTGAACAGAGGCAGGAGAAAAGGGAAGAAACCTGAAGATTTGGGAAGAAAAAAGTCGACTTACCTTCTTCTGGAGCAGGAATCTTTCACATATCCAGCTGGTTCTGGGGCCAAAAGCCAACTTCATTTACTTTAATACATCACAGTTTCAAGCAGAGACGACCAGAAGCTGCTTTTATCTTCCTGGAATCACCTTTTCCCAATTTGACTCTCTGTTGTCCTCCATGTTAGCAGCTGACAGGTGTGTCTGCTTCATGACATCACTTCCTCCCTACATCTTCTTCTCCCTACTGCTGCAATGTCACACCTTTCAAGTCTGTTATTTTGTTTTCTTAAAACTGATAATGCGATTCTTCTGACAGAAGTTCATTTTTCATTTTGAAATTCTACGATTTTTGCATTTTGAATTAAAAAAAAAAGACTGTTCTTATCATCTGTTGCTGCGAGATCGATGTGTAAGAATCCAGATTTCCTGGTCAGATAAGCTTCTGAGCAGCACTGGAGACCCTCTGGTTAACTTTCCCCCAAAGAGTCCTTTTAACTCTCTTGTACCAGGGATTACCAACAAAACACTGCCTCGTGAAAACAACCAGAATTCAACCCAACAGCGTCCAGCAACATCTCATTTGAAGGGCGAATACAGGAGAGTTCACAACACCTACATGACCCCTGACATAAACAAACATCAATCATATGTGCTCGTTTCATTTGGCTGACATAATATTAGACATTATTGGGTTTTATTACATTTTCTATGCAAATTTAATTGAATTTTTAGTCAATCATTGGGTGCTGCTTGCTTTTCTATACTCAACCAAAACAACTTAGAGAAGCCACACGTTCAAAATGTGCTTCTAATCGCACCACAAGCTGTTTTAAACTGAAGCTACTTTTAAGACGCCTTTACAGGCACTACCTGTTTGCGCATCGCTAACATTTTTAGCTGCATTGTAAAGCGTCCTGTGTGGTTTCCCTCCTCTTCAGGACCCTCTGACAGAACACGCTGCCTACGAACAGATGGCCCTCTTCGCCTCTGCCTGCGCTTTCTCCTGGAGCAAGTGGAATTCTAAATGTGGAGCCGAGCATCTGGTCATGCAGGTATTCTTACTCACACGGACACACGCAGCCTATTCCCCGTTAACTACACTGTAAAATGCACAAACAGACACTTTTTTTTAACTGTAATTATTTTAGGAATTGACAGTTGCTTTGCAGATTGTCCCTGTTTTTGTTACATGACAGAGAGTATTTTGTAAAATCACAGAAATAAATACCAGAAAATAAACTGACTTAAGCTGTAAATAATGTCTACATTAAACATTTTTATTTTTTAAATGGTTGTTCATTCTTGTACAATTTTTGACTGTAAAAATTCTACTTTTAAGTTTTTTTAAAAATTTATATCAGCTAAAAAATGTAATTACAGATATTTACTCTTACTTGGGAGAAAAATTGTGTAATTATTTTTTTTTTTAAACTAGTACTTTAACGGATATTCCTTGTTTTGTTAAATGAAGTGTAAATGTAGTACAATTTTAGAAAAAAAAAAAAGGATTAATTTACGTCTTGACTGTTAAAAAAACAGGCCAAAACTGTACAATGACTTTTGAAAATCTGGATTTTTACAAATGTTGATCCATTCTTTTATAATGTTTGACTGTAAAAATACACAATTGGTTTTAGTGTATTTCAATAACAGTCATTATTTTACAGATATTTGCTTTTATGTTCACTATTTTTAAAGTTAATGAAGATGAGTGTCGTCCTCCATTTTTATTTTATCACTCTGGTAAAGTTGCTGCCAGATTTTCAGTTTTTTAACTACCATGTTTTTTACCAGTGCCTAGTAATATATTCCCTGCAGCCTCCCTGTGTTGGTCAGAGGACAGTGTAACCGGCTATAAATATAAATATATTTCTCCCCCTGTTATAAAATGAGTCACCGGCTACATGTGGAGGCTCATCTCAACCACCTCTGCACTGGCACCGAGTCAAACAATCAGACGTTTTCAGCTTAGTGACAGCAGTTTACGCAACCACAGAGAAAAGGTCCTCTCAGATGATGGAGGCGAATAAACGAGTGAAGTCAACATGGTGAGGTTTACGGGACACGAGCTGAGTCCAAGCAGCAAACAGACACTTCTAGTTTCTCTTTTGTACCCGTTTCGACTGCTCCGTCCTCTGCCAGGTGTGCGAGCACCTCGACTCCGCCCCCGTGCCCGAAGGTTGCTGGAGTCTTTACCTGCTGGGCGCTCAGAGGAACCAAAAGCTGGAGATCACGGAGGAGAGTGAAGCGTTCTCTCCAGACCATCATCCAGGCAGCGAGTTCAACTCCACCTTCATCCACATGCTGCAGGACAGCATGAGCCCCGACGGCATCGCTCGGACCAGAACATCCCATCATCTGTTCGTGGACGCGGTGCAGAGCCTGCTGTGTGCCACCAGACCCCTCATGTACTCACAATAACAATCTAAAAATGCAATTAGAACAGATGCAAAGACATTTTAAACACCTGCATTCAGAATCACATCACATACGCCTTGTATTGTAGAATTGGCTACTTTATTTGTGCAAAGATCCACGCATCTTCTTTGGGACATACAAAAGTGTATGAAGTTGAACGGTGACAACCACAGCAAGAACTTGTAGAGGAAAACAATAATAATAATAATAAAAAAACCAAAACAACCCTTTGGTGTTCAGACTGAAACAATGCAGAATTATAACTTAACAAAAATAAACATATTCACAGCTTCCCACTCAAAACTAACAAACTCATAAATATAGATTTCATAAACACTTTAAAACACTTAAAATGAAAGTTTTATTACCAGTGTTTGTTGACTTAAAAGTTATAAAATGTCCTCTGCAACCGATGAGGAAATGAATGTAAAATCCCGTTAAAAAGGCTGGCGGTCTCCCGGATCCGTGAAATGTGTTTAAAAAGCTGTGTGGCACAGTCGGAGCAGCGCGTTGACGGACTCATCAGTGCTATCATTCTAGTGGTATAGTGGCATGATCAGCGCCAGCTCCGGTGTCTGATGCACCCTGATTGGACGGGCGATCCGGGGAGACGGCGGCCAGCAGCACTGACAGCATGACGTCCGCCGTGAGGGACGACCTGTAACTGCTTCTCGTAAACACAGACACATGCGCACACACACACAGACTAACTAGTTTAGCAAACGTGAGGTGATGCATAAAATCCTGGGCAGGGTTAACTATCCCTCCGAGGCCCGGCCTGTGCTGCCAATGCAAAAGTCTCGTTTTAGGAATCTTCAGGCACCAGTAAACATCCCGACAGCCTCTGCTCGGGAGTCGCACACTGTTCTCCTTCCATCACCGACGCCAGTGTGCAGAAAAGCTCTGCAGAGGGCCGACGGGCGGGAGCACCATCCACCCGCGGGGGCCCCGGGCTAGACGGGGGGCTGTCCGTTGTGCCGGAGCCCCGTGTAGGGCCACAGCAGCTGCTGGATGGTCATCCAGGAGTCCCCGGTCCCCACGGGGGCCGCGTCCACGGCCGGCTGCATCACCAGGCTGGCCAGCAGCGCCAGGAGAGCTGCACAGAACAAATAGTGGGATGTAAATATTACTTCCTAGACTCAAGCTGCGCAGGAAACCAAACCTGATTTATCTTGGGGTCACTAGTGACTGAATAAGCAGTGAAAACCAAGAACTGATCCTCCTAGTGTTCCTCAAACTACTTGTTTTAAACCATCAGAGCCTCAACCCCTTAAATGCATGTTGCTTTAAAAAACAGAAAAAAAAATAGCCAGAAACAAACAAAAAAAAAAATAGCCAGAAATAAGTCATTTGTTCTACTTAGAAGCTGTGAAACTAAAAATTCTGTTCCTCTGACAACTGTGAAATTATGAGTGAGTCATCTGCAACCAACAGTCACATAACAAGCATTCAGGGATGAACTGCAGGCTGCAGATAGGAAGCAAATTAAACATGTAAGTAGTGAAACATCTACAGGATGTAGAGGCACATTCCAGTATTCCTAACACCTGTGGCCACTTGACAAAAATGTTGTACATCTCCAAACTTGTGTAATCTAATTCAACGTTCACTTTTATTTATTTATTGTTTTTTTATCATCATTCTAACTGTTATGCTGCACAGAAGGAATGTTCAAGTTGAAGGTGCTACAGCAGTTTACAGAATAGTGTTTTTTCGAACGTTAAAGCAGGTTTATATATTCAAGTACACCCTAAAAATAAAACTATAAACCTGTAAATGTGCATAATGTCGGCTCTCTAACAATGCTTTAACAATGTTCTGGTGGCAGAACGTAAAAGGGATTTTTAGGGTATGTGTCATTTTTTATTTGTACTAATAATACATTGGTTGTAGTTTCCAGTGTGGCCTCATGGTGGCAGTGTTGTCTGTTATAATGCCTAAAACCAGACACAGTGATACAGAAATGTGTCTTACATGATATAAATGGTATGTTAGTATAAATGCATATCAGTCTGCACTAAAAAATCAATTAAATTAAAATCTAAACATTTCTGACATTTACAAATGACTAATATTTTCATAAATGACAAACCAAGTGATGCTAGTTTAGCACTAGGTAGCTAGTGACCCAGGATATGCAAGAGTAATTAAAAACTAATCCATACTTTTGAGGGTTTGATGCAAAATTGCTAATTTGTACAGGTTTTATTTAGCACATAGTTGGTTGTTTATTTCCCCTGATGTCAGAGTGACTTTTGTCTAAAAGATTTAAAAGACAAAAACACAAAAAAAACATTAGCGTACCTGCTAGCACCACCACCATGGCCAACCAGAGCCAGAGGCCCCTGCCTCCTCTGGCCACCGCTGCTGCCGCCGCGGCCCGAGAGCTGGTCAGGCCGTGGGACAGAGACTGAGCCATCCCTGGGTCTGTGGACGTCGGGCTGGACGAAGGGCTCGGGCTGGAGGAAGGAAAACAAAAAGTCACCACAGGAGGAAGAGATAAAGAGGCAGCAGAGGCGGATGGACACGGAGAAAAATGAGAAAACGTTACCAGAGAGAGTTAAGTTACCAAAAATGATTTGTGGTGAGTCGTAGGAGGAAAAACGCTTTTGGTAAAAAATCTGTGCATCATTTGTGGTAACTTGTGCGATGGATGGCAGGAAGCAAATGAGCTGAAATTAAAAGTTGGCTCCAATTAAAGTGCTTTTTTTTTTTTTTAACCACCTGTTTCAAACAAGAACCATTCACATCAGCATCGTAATGAAAAAGCTGTCAGCAGCTGTTAATAGCAGTTGGCATGGAGGTGGATTTGAGCGCTGACTTATTAGTCACAAGGCAGCCGACAAATTCTGGCCCGAAGCCCGTCAAGAGTAGGAGTGCCGCTTCAAATCACTTCACAGTCATTACGAGAGTCGCTGCTGAAGTTGTAAGTGGCTTTTGATTGGCACTCCTGCTCGATGAATGCAGGCCGTTTCTTTTTTATTTTGCATGCGTTTATTGTTTTTGCTGGACAGAGATAGAATCCTCCCTACACACTTACAGCATGACAAAGAGCTCATCCTGACTCCTGAGTCATGTGGAGGGAGGAAAAAAAAAAGGAAAAGGACAGTTCAGAACAAGGCGGGAGAACTCAGCCGCACCGTAAGAGTGAAGAGAAACAATTTGCACATAAAACGGTTAGTAAACGACAAAGATGAGTTAGATTTTTCTTTTTTTTTTGCACAAGCAAGTCAGAACTTGAGATCCATGCATGAAACAAAATCACAAAGTTTGCAGAATCACTGGTCACATTCACACACATTGATCTCAAGCTGGTTAACAGGTGAAGAAAACCGTTCATTTCTGGCCCCTTTGCAGTAAAAAATAAAATAAAACAAAGTCTGTTAACTTGATTAAAAAGCCACTGAGCCCCTGGAGCAAAGAGGCTAGTCCAGCACAGACCCATGTAACAGAAGAGTTTCATCACTTAGGAGGTTCCACAGCTTTACTCAGAGCTATTTTTAATCAATTTTTGCTGTCGTCACACCATTTTTGGAAATTTTCTGGTGCCTCATGATGAGCAATTTCTCACTGATGTCAAAATGTCACAGCTTTTATACAGATTTGTTGCATAATCTATGAAATAAAGCACAAAAAAAATAGTGCCATAAAATCCGCCCCAGATGCAAGAACCAGGGTGCGGCTAAGTGATGAACTCTTCAGACAGTGGAGCTACGGCGGCCTAGCGGTGGGTATTTGGTTGGACTAACGTCTTAAGGGGCAGAATGAGGGAGGTGAGTTTGCTGCCCAGCTCACTGAGACTGGACCTCCTCCTCTCTGCCACTGCCTCCTCCTTCTGCTCTTCCTCCGACTGGCAGTCTGTGTTGTTGCAGGCCGTCCTGTGGGCATGCATGGGTCAGGCATTCACAAACAACACACGGTTCAGTCGCACATTCACCCACAGGCATTAGCTCCATAAACCCGCATGCACAGATGCACGTTTCATGCATCCAACACAAGCAGGCGGATGCAGACGCCCCCCCTGAAGTGGCCGCTGATTCACCTGCTGAACACAAACAAGTTTTGAATTCCTTTTTTTTTTTGCAATCCAACAATGCGCTCCCAGCAACCTCACGCTCCAATATTATAGCACGAAGCCACAAAGCAGTTTAACAACCGTCAACCGTTCAGACATTTGGAAGGAATTAACCCCCTGAACCCCAAGTCACATTTTTAGTTTTTGCTCCTGTCACATTTTTACCCACTGTGGGTTCATTTTTCTCTGCAATATAAAGTCCTGCACCTCTATGGAAACAGAACAACCATGACTAGAAGGAGAGGGAACTCAAAACTGTCTCCTGTGCAGTACGACAGCTATAATGCCAGAAATCATAGAATTTTTTTTTAGATTTCTTTGAATATTTACTTTACAAAAACTACAAAAATAGCCTGGAATTAACATGTAAATTATTTTCCTAGTGCCAACAGTTATTACCAATACTTTAAAGTTATTTTTTTGGGGCCTTTGTGCCTTTATTTGATAGTGAAGTGAGAGAGAGATAGGAAAGTAGGGGAGAAGAATGGGGGGGGAGGACATGTGGGAAAGGGTCATGAGCGGGATTAGAACTCATGACCTCCACATCGGGACTGTAGCCCTGTACATGGGACGCCAGCTCAACCAGGTGAGCTATAGCGGCACCCATATTACCAATACTTAAAATAATTTTTTTTTAAAAGATGGCGGCTCTATACCTACAGATACTTAATATTTACATTTATAATGTGTTTTTATACTGATCACCTATGTTCTCTGTTTACACTGCCTGCAGTTCAGCCGAAAATCAACCGAATTTCCACTAATAGCTTCATAGCTGCACCGGGAAATGCAGATTTTATTATTATTCTACAGCAAAATGTTTATTTCTGGCAAAATTTCAAACAAGACAAGTAGAATAAATTAATTTTGATATCTCAATTCTAGGCTGAGATTTGGGTAAGTTTGGTGATGGATGAGAACTTCAAGGAGAGATCCTGGCTCTAATAAATGATATAATTTCTGCATTTAAAAAAAACAAACAAAAAAACAAAGTTAACATGCCTTTACAACCTGCTGGCAGATGTTGGGGTTCAGAGGGTTAAAAGTGCTTGATTTCTTTTTAACACGTCAGCTATAATTTTGGCTCATTAAAACCGGACTAATTCTATTTTCGTTGACCAAACACGTGAAAGCACACGGTGCCATTAAATTACAACAACAGACCACAGCACCCCGTCAACTTGACATTTTGCAAAGACACACAGCAAAAAAAATGTGCCAGATGTGGAAAATGTAGGCGTCTGATAAACACGCTCCCATGCAGAGGTGGATGGACCGGATGCATGAAAGATGGCGGCCTATCAGTGCTGCGTTACTTTACACTCTGCTCACTGTTAATTATCTGACGCTAAAATGATAAAACTGTTACATGCGTTTCTTCTCAGAAGGAGCATTTTTGCAGGAATCTATAACGTATTTATTGCAACCCTAACAGATCCCGGTATTCTCCACTGACCACCAGGTGCTCTGAGGGGGGCAAACAGTGACGACGCTACACCTGAGAGCGGCCATCTTTATGCATCAGAGTCCACCGACGCAGCCCAGCGTGGCTTCCCTTCTCCTCGGCATGTCTTACCCCTTCATCATGAGGGAGGGCTCTTCAGTGTCAACCCATGCCGCAGAGCTAACAAAGCGTTTTAGCGGGGGACGCGCTGTGCTCTTCCCTGCCATATTCCTGCGAACCACCGTTATCACATAACAACAACAACAACAACCCTCAAAGTCATCGTACAACAAGCCTGGGCAGCTTCCATAAAACAACCCACATGTTAGAGGAGCAGCGGTGTTTAACAGCAGAGTCACTTAAACAGCTTTTAATCTAGATAAACCACCCTTTATGTGGGACTACTTGTCTTAAAAACCACTAAATGTAACACACATATAAACGAACACGTACCACGGGGATCGCCTGGTCAGCCGCTCTGTTTCCGCCTCTGAGCCATCTTGAGTTTTAGACTGTGTTGGGGGGAAAAAAAGTCAAATAATTTGCGGCATAATGAGGGAAACAAAAATGCACTTTCGCACAACTCAAAGCACAATCACAACAATCCCTGAATCACTACAATACAAAACTGCATGTAATTAAGAAAGCAGTCCTACTCGAACACAAAACTAAACACACGACAGAAACCTACACTTCTGGAAAACATACAACAGAAAGAAGTGAGTACATTGCTGTATTGTAATGTTGTAAAGTATTAACTTGTACGAACAACAAAAAATAAATATTTTAGAATGACTATATTAAAAATACAGGCCCCAAAGTTGAAACTCAGTATGACAAAAATGAGAAAATCTGACTACTGGAACAAAACTGTGATTTCCAATCAGCCCAAGTGCACGAATATAGTTATAAAATGAGCTGTGAACACCAGAACATTCTCAGTTTTGGATCTATGATGCATTAGTTTGAGGTATGTCTGTCTGCATCATGGCTCCACATGGTGAAATATCGCCAGAGGAACTGAGAAACTGTCTTCACAAAAGTGGAAAAGCATAAATGGACAATTATCGACGGATGTTACGGCCCATGGGACCGAGTTTTGGTGTCGTTTGTGTGTGAATCCCTTTCAGGTGGAGCCCAGAGGGGGTGGCCAGGTGCACTAATCAAGAGACGATTGAAAAGCCGAGCCAGCCTGATCATCGTGTCCAGAGTGGCAGACAGAGGTGGTGGCGTTTGTGGTGTTGGGCCTGATTTCAGCGACTCTGCGATTGTTGAGTTGTTGGTGACCTTAGGATCGGTTTTGTTTCCAGGGAGCTCGCTCTGGTTTGCACTTCTTTGTTTCCCTTTGTTTGTAAAATAAATAAAATAAACAGTTTCCTGGTCCCTTTACCCTGTGTCATTTTCAGTCTTGTTACTCCCCTCATACCCGAGCTCACGGGGACGTAACAACGGACTAAAAATCTATCTTGCGGCAATAAGCAGGAGCTGCAGAAGGAGCCACAGCACCACTGATCAGAGCTGCAGTGGTTGTAAAATAATAACGAAACGCTGCGATGTGATGAGAGGTAAAGGTTCGTACCATGTCAAAGTGCATGTTGCCTCCACGGGGAATTGCTGCTATGCTGACCCGCCGGGATGTCGACTTAAAAAAAAAACAACACAAATATGAACACATAAAGTCAACATGAATCTTCCGTAGAGGAGATGATGTGACAATAGCAGAACCCACCTTGTAGTACTGAGACGACGACTGCTTCTTACCGCGGAAGTCATCTGGAAAGAGGAACGCGTGAGTCATTCTGTGTGCACGATATGAATCACATTCCACTCGTGGACTGTTTGTATATATACAGCAAACGCATGTGTAACGTTACATAACGTTGGTTTATTAGTAATACCGAGTCTGCATTTTACTCTACGGGTTAATTTTATTTACAGCAGCTTCCTGTATTTACAGCTATATAAACATAACCTACTATGATTTAACCCTCTGAACCTCAAGCAGTGTCTCGGCACATTTTTACTCACTGTCGGCTCATTTTTTACCGCAATATGAAGCCATGCACCTCGATGGAAACAGAACAACGACGGCTAGAAGTAGAGAGAAGTCGCAAATGCCTTCTGTGCAACATGAAGCAGTTACAAGCCATGAATCACAAAGAAAGAAAATAATTAACGACAGATTTCTTAAATGATATAGTTGACAATTTACAACTTTCTTTCCAAAGTACCCACATTTTTTTTTGCAATATTAGAAAAAATATGGTGGCTCTACAGACTATAGATATTTACTACGTAGATTTTTGAACCGTTTCCAAACTCTGTGTAAAAACTCCTTGATTATTTGTTTGCAGCTGAGTCATTAAACTCAAGCAAAGCATGTAGAATTTTTTATTTTTACAGAATCTGGTTCATGCAAACTGTAAGCTTTTAAAATGAAACACGTAGAATAAAATGATTTTGATTCAATATTATGGTTTTACGCTTCCTGTCACACACGATTAGTTCAAGGACTGCTGCAAACTGGAAAATCTGAATGTTCGTCCTGTTTTTCTGGCTTGTCGCTCTGATAAACGGTGGAATTTTGGCGAACATGTTTCAGGACTCATACGATGAAGACAGAACAGAATTAAAGGTACATTTGGAAAGACAAAGTTTTGTTGTCCGCTTTGCAGAGGTTGTTTTTACAGAATCTGGTTGGTGCAAACTGTTAATTTTTGTCAAGCTTTTAAAATGAAACATGTAAAATAAAATGATTTTGATAAATTATTATTATTTCAGGCTTAGATTTGGCTAATCTTCCTGATGAAAATGCACACTACGTTTGATTTGCTCAAGGACGATTCTCCTTTTGTAGTTTCTAGCTTTGATAAATTGGTGTCATGTGGCAATTTTTTAAAAAAACATAACAGCCTTTCAAACCTGTCGATGGGCTTTGAGGTTCAGAGGGTTAATAGTTCCTATATTTAAAGGCCCAGTGAGAATTATTCAGCATAACAAGTGTAAAATTTAAAATACTGAATATTAGTGCAGAATAAAAACTCGTACGGTTCCGTGTGGTGCATCGAGACAGACAGTGAGCGTCCGTATGTACAACATGTCCAACCTCTTTCCGTTTGCGATCCGAACGACCTCTCGTTCTGCATCAGCGTCTCTCTCAGCTCCAGCAGCTCGGCGTGCTCCTTGGTGTACATCCTCCTCAGGTTCTCCACATGCTGGATCATCACCTCCACCGCTTTGCCGATACGACTCTCCTGTGGTTCCCAAACACAGCGTCACAGTTTGTTCTGTCACAGCGAGGGACGAAAAATGAATTCATGCTAGTTCCCGGCTGACCTGGTGAATGGCTCCAAGCATCTCGGAGCGACTGGACACTCGGGTCATGGACTGGATGAGGATATCCAGGTTCTTCTGGAGCCTCTGGATGATCTCCATGGACTGGTTGTCGTCCTCACACAGAGGAATCAGAGCCTGAGAGGGAAGTTGTAGTAAAGAGAGAGAGATGAAGGCTCTTTATTTCTTATTTCTACATCTATATATATAAAACAGGAAAGTTATTCAACTACATAATTATGATTTCAAGATAAATGCAGCCCGTAGATTCAGGTCAGCAAGTAATTACACAACATATTGCCAAACTGCTGCAACTTCAAGTAGTAAATGTCTGTTTTACAACATATTGTGCAACAAGTATTCACTACATTACTGTGCTTATCAAAGTCACACATCTGCTAAACTTTTATCAGCGAAACACCACAAATGTGGCCAGAAGCAGAGGGAACTTCAAAGTGTTAATTCAAAGTTAGAAAGCCACGAATCAGATAAAAAATAAACGGTATGAAAATTGAAAAAAACTTAAAATATCAGGAACAATATTTTCTCAAGTGCCCACAGGTGTCATCAATACTGGAAAACAACTGGTGGCTCTACATGCTAGAGATATTTTACATTTTTAATTTGTGTCCCTATTAGTCTCCTCTCTGCTCTGTGGAAACACTGCCTGCAGTTCAGCTGAAAGGTTCCTGATTTTTTTTGTCTCATAACTGACGGTCACACACTTGTGGCTTTCCGGATGCAGAAAAAAGTGCAGAATTTATTTTTTTTTTTCACAGAAGCCGATGAGAGCAGATGTTGAGTTGCTAATGGCTTACCAGTTGTGCACAAAATACTTTTAGAGACATGTAGAATAAAAGAATTCTGATAAATCGTTGTCATTTTAAGCTTAAACTTGGTTCATTTCCCCAAAGAATCTGAAAGTCACACATGATTACTTCAAGGACTGTTTGCAAACTAGATAATCTGAATATCCGTCCTGTTTTTACGGTTTGTTGCTCCGATAAGTGGCTGAATTTTGGCGATTTAAAACAACAACATGATTCAGGATTCGCACGATTAAGACAGAACAGAATTAAAGTGATTTGGAATTATATTGGGAAAAACAAAACTTCCTGCAAAGCTGGTAAAGCTGAACCGACCTGCAGTAAGCCCTGGCAGCTGGACACTTCTCTGCGGACGTTCTCCTCGGCCAAGTCACGCGACCGCTCCTCCAGTCGGAGTCTCTTCTCCAGGGTGAACATGTCGCACTTGAACCCCAGAGCCAGACGCTGGAACTCCGCCTGAAAACAGGAAAAAAAGATGATTTTGATGATTTGTACAAAGGATTTTTACTCTTTAAGTTTTGTTTTGACAATCAGTGTTGTATTGTGCCAACAGAATAAACACTTATACTAAAATTATGGCTGTACTTGTATGTTGTTTTAAATGTGTTTGTTTTTATGCCTGTCAAAGAAGAATTTCTGTCACTTGTGACAAACAATAAAGTTTATCTTATCTTATCTTCCTTGTGTCATGATCTTATGTTTTCTCTTATCAAAGAATTCAATCACAACACTTCAGTTTGGATTAACCCTCTGAACAGTTTTTGTTTTGCTCCTGTCACATTTTTTTATTCACTGTGGGCTCATTTTTCACTAAAACATAAAGTCCTGCACCTCTATGGAAACAGCTCAATCATGGCTAAAAGTAGAGAGAACTCAAAAAGATATTTTGTGCACTCTAACAAAGTTATAATGCCACAAATCATAAAGAAAAACAAACATTTATTTTTGCAAAAACTGGAAAAACGAGCATTTACCGTGCAAAACATTCTCCACAGGTGCTACCAACACCTGCTCACACTTGTTTCTACGCTTGTCTCCTATTTCCTCTGTGTAAACATGACCTGCAGTTCAGCCAAAGGTTCCAGATTTGTTTTCTTTTGTTTTGTCACACGACTATTGGTTGCAGCTGAGTCACTGACGGTTTTATAGTTGAACCAAGGGGCGTACAATTTTTATCTTCATACAGACTTTAGTTCATGTAATCAGCTTATTCCGGGCACATTTTAAACCAGACATGTAGAATAAAGAGGTTTTGATAAAATGTCATGAATTTAAGCTTGTATTTATCTACATGTTGCATCATAAATGGTGTAATTTTGCTGATTATTTCTAAAGATAACCTGCCTTTCAAACCTGCTGGTGGGTTTTGAGGCTCAGAGGGTTAACAAAGAAACCTATTAACTTTAAATAATTGCAAAAAAAGTCCCACAAAATCCTCCAAATGGTGCAGTTTCTACATGATGGGATCTAGAGACTGGCCCAAACACGCCGCTGGTTTACACAGTGAGCTGCAGGACACGGGATCTGGTGCACACATACCTCTATCTCCTTGTCACTTGGCGACAGGCTGCAGATAAAGAGACAAGAATTAGGAAGCGCTCTGAAATGTAAACAAAAGCAATCGCTGATTTAAGCTGCGTAACGACAATCGTCTACCTGTTTCTGTCCTCTTTGAAGGTTTCGCCGTTGTCAGAGATGACTGACATATCAGCTGGAGGGAAACAGAAGAGAGTTTTAGAGTAAACGTATGAGCAGTTTAGTTGATAGTATTTAATGCACAACGAGTACATCATACAAACCTTCCTTCTCAGTGGTCTTGTTGGTTTCACTCTGGTCCTCCTGAACCTTCTGCTCCTCGATGGCCTCCATGCCGCGCGTCAGCTCCTGCAAAGTCCGTACAAACATCAGCGCCTCTGCTTCCTCCTCCTCCTCCTCCTCCTCTTTCTGCTCTGCATTTAAATCCATTCTCTTATTCCCCCTCAACATCCTATCATTCACTCCTTCCCTGCACCTCCCTCTCTAAGCCTTCACATAACGAAGAGGAGCTGAAGATGAAGATTCAAAGCAGCCTGCGGGTCTCGTCTCGCCACTTGATTGCAAATGATGTGATCCTGAGCGGCGCCGAAATCAAAACTATGCACTCCCTCTTCCTCCTTCCCTCTCGTACGGTCACGCACTCGCTTAGCTGGAAAGACGGCATTTCTCTCCGGGTTGCGAGACACCGCTGGCACTGTGTCATCTCAGACAATGAAACCTAATCCGACTGGCAGCATCTAACGTGATCCTGGTGTTTCATCACACCTGCTCAGATTCTTCATCGTATCGAGCACAAGCGGAAGCGTTAAAAACAACAAAAGCAGATCATAATATATCTACTATCTGTCAGTCTTTTAACAATAACGATCCACTTCAACGACAGAGAGGTAAATTCATCAATATGTGGAACCACGAGAGGCGGCACGACAGGTCTTACCAGTTCCCTCTTATTTTTGCTGCGAAGGAAGGCGTCCTTTCTGGCCTCGCTAACCTCCGAGTGTCCGGGGTCGGAGGTCACGCCGCCCACGCTCCCCGATTGGTTGGCCGACTGAGCGGAGCTGCTGTCGGAGGAGGAGGAGGTGGTGGTGGTGGTCGGCCCACTGCTGGTGAGCCGGTCAGTCCCTGAAACGGAGAGTTGGTGTGTGTTGGTGTGTGGGTGGGCAAAGTTGCACAGAGATGCAAAAAGGCAGAAACAAACGCTCCAGCTTTGAAATTTCTGGCTTTCTCGCCGTACCCGCCATGCCAGCTGCTGGAGCCTCGGCCGCGCCGTCCTGGATGCTCTCCTCCTCCTCCACCAGCACAGGTAGCAGGCTCGTGCTGGAAAACACACACGCTTCACCTTACACCTTAACTACTATAGCATCCACAGAAAACGAAAAGCACAAGTAGGTTTTCAGGCTAGTTTTCTGAGCTGATGCACAGTCGAGCCACTCACCTGTCCTCAGCTGCTGATCTGTCTGCCGACGGGTCCTGGCTTAGGCTCTGAGATGGACAGAAGTAAAAGGAAAGGGTTAAAAAAACGAGCCGGGAGGCCTTTCCCTGCATCCCAGGAAACCATTAAGCAAGCATACATGACTGCGTGCATGAAGCGTACCTGTCCCATGGCAGTGAAATGAAATCTAAGCTGTAGAGAGTGTGGAAGAGAAAGATTGGGATGATTCCTTATATAATATGGAGCCACATGGAGAGCTCTGCAGCTCTACGAGTGTGTGTGTGTGTGTTGCCGAGAAGTGTGTGCTCAGTTAACACTGGCACAGTGCTAAGTAGTGGAGGCGGACTGCGTGCACACACAGCCATGTGAACACACACTTACGATGGAGCAAGGTGAGAGCACAGAGCAGTGCAACGGGATATTGTGTAATGAGTGCACATAATATCCGTTTTGACACGACTCAAAATAGGAGAGCTGATTTATCTCACTGAACGCAAAACTTTAAAAAGAGAGACTTCAATGCCGTTTTTCATCCAAAGCAGCAGCGGAGCAAAATAAAACTGGTAGGTGCCGAGTTAGCGGTGTAAACCTTCACAAGGCTTCATGAACTGGCTTCATATTAGTAGCTGACACATTGTTTATTGACTTGATTTAACAATCTGCTCTAAAATATTGTTAATTTTCACGTCAGGCTTTTGTTTTTGCTAATAAACGTGATAACACACAACAACAACAGATTTTTATGTGTGTACAATCACCAAAAATGCATCTAAAACTTTATAAATAATACAAATTTAAGGTGTAACTTATATCATTTATCATTTTGTTGTAAAAATTATAGCAACAAAATGCATAAAAAGTAAATTCCTCACTTAGCAGACATTCGTTTCTATTGTCCCACATTACATATTGTAAAATTATAAATATAAATAGTGCAATAATTTGATGTAAATATTGCAAAAATATCAACAGTGTGATAACTTTGGATAAATATTGCTAAAAACATATTAATCCTGTAAATATTTAGGACACATATTGCAAAACTACAAACTTTTAAAATGAAATCTTTTGAAATAAATATTGTAAAAATATTCATCGTGGGATAAGTTAGGATAAATATTTTGTAAAAAAAAAGAAAATAATAGTGCAATCATTTAGGAGAAATA